TTATATATATATATATATATATATATATATATATATATATATACATATATATTGTTAATATATCAGGCATTATCGTGGAACGGGGAGGAGGTTGTTCACCTGTTCACCTGTGCACCTGTGCCACTTTAAGAGCGAAGCTTTTCGCCACTTGTTACGTCATCGTGCTTACTATCACCGCGTCTCGCGGCACGAAACGTCGAAACGGGTTGCCGAGCGGTAACGGGTTATCGGACAGTCGCCTCCGGAGTCCTTATCGACGATCGACGCCGAACTCGCGGCGCCGCGTGTCCACCGCACTGACTGCGGCTCGCGAGCGTTTCTACGCGCAGCCGATCGATCTCAATCGGTCGGAGGGTGGCGCGTGATGGAATCGATCTCGTATTCTCGATCGAACGGAGCTCTCGAGGATATCGACCGATATTTACGAGCTCCGATCTTCTTCGATCGAGGTGACGCTCGAGTCTCGTTCAGCGTTTAGGTCAGCGCGATTCCTTCGGCGGGGAAGGAGAGCCTCGGTTCGCGAAAAATGCGGAAGGGACAGGGAACCGAGCAGGGGAAGCGAGACGATCGAGACGATCGCTGCCAAATATCGCTGGAGGAACCTTCGAATTCCACGGCGACGAGGAATTCTGTAACTTTCTACGGTTGTTACGTCACGCCTCGTGCTGCCGGCCGACGGATCATCTGGCGGCGCGAGTCGAGGCGTGTGTCCAACGAGACGATCCTGCGAGCTCGAGGCGGACCAATCTGGCATTCGGTCGTTATCGGTGACCGATGGAAGCCGTGCACGCCCGACGGGATACGCTGATCGCGGTTACTCTCAGACACGTCGCGCGTACCGTCTTAGTACACGCGCACGGCCCAGCCACGGACACGCGCGCGTTCCGCTCCGGCACTTCACTTTCGGCTCGCATCGGCTCTCTGGAGTTTCGGCTCGGCTCGGTGACAGTGGCATCACGAGGAAAGGTAATCAGAAAAAAAAAAAAAAAAAAAAAAAGAAAAAAAAACTGGCCATAACCAAATGTATGGATTTGTGGGTTTTTAACCAGATGTATTTCTCTCTTACGGTGTACGTATGTGTATATGTGTGTATGTGTGTGTGATATGAACACGTTCTCATTCATGCGTCTTCTGTCTCGTTTACGTTAACGGGACAACCATGTTACACACGCGCGTAAGTACGTGTACTACGTGTTCTTCGATCGTCGTTTCGTATTCCGTCGACACTTACGCGCACTTCCCGCCTCGAGGTTCGCGCATGCGCGTCGCACAGCGTCCCTTTGCACGTGGTCGCGTCCAAGCTTCGTTTTCTCCGTTCTTCCTCGTCGCTCGTCGTGGCTGGAAACCGCAAGCGATGGATACACAAGTTCGACGCGAGTTACTCTCTTTCTTTCTTTCTATCTTTACTTACTTACTTTGTTCACGTGTAATATCCTCTTGCTTATCGCCGATCGAGATTTAAGTAAGATCTTCGACGGCTGATGCAAACGATTTCGCGATTTCTTCTACGCGGTAAGTAACTTATTCGCCATGTATCGATGACGTTCGTATCGGACGAAACGACGCCGTTTCCAAAATTTCCATACGGCGAGACTCTCACTGCTGTTGCGTGCGCGCAGCGCGCGCATGCGCGCCACTCGTCTGATCCGATCGGAATATTAATTTCGAATCGGTAATGGGAGCCGTTCAGTAAATCGACCTTGTCGATTCTTAACAGCTGCGCACTCGCCGATGAAAATCGCTTGCGATTCTTTCTTCTTCCCTTTCTCTTTTCCGGTCTTGC